CTCCCCTCCTCCCATCCCATCAATCACCACCAGATCTTCAATAAAGGAAAGTGTCATGTAATTGTACATGTCTTCTTCAGTTTGTGTATTAAAATTAATATTTCATGTGGTAAAATTTTTTTTTTTCAATACTTTGGGGTGTCAGGAACGGATTAATTTGATTTCCATTATTTCTTATGGAGAAAATTAACTCGACTAATTATAATTTCGACTAACGATGAGCTCTCAGGAACGGATTAATATCGTTGGTCGAGGGTCCACTGTACTAACCAGAACTTCTAAATCCTTTTCACAATCCATAATATTAAGATCTACATTATTTAGTTTATATGTGGCATGGTTATTATCCTTTCCAACATTTAGAACTTTGCATTTGTCTATATTAAACTGCATCTGCCACTTTTCCGACCACTGCAAATCATCCTGGAGTGCTCCAATGTCCTCATTAGAATGAACTGGACTGCCTATTTTGGTGTCATCAGCAAATTTGCTTAAGTTGCTATTTATTCCCTCATCTATGTCATTTATGTGGCTTAGCGCTTCTTTTTGATTATAATAATAATAATAATAATAATAATAATAATAATAATAATAATAATAATAATAATAATAATAATATCTCATTTATGTAAATTGTGAACAACAAGGGGCCCAACACTGACCCCTGTGGAACAACGCGTGGGGCGTGCCCCCATTCATTCAAATTCTCTGTTGCCTATTTGTCAACCATACCTCTACCCAGGAAAAAATTTTTTCCTCTTATTCCGTGTGCCATAAGTTTTCTCAACAGCTTATGATGTGGAACTCTATAGAAGGCCTTACTGAAGTCCATATACATAGTATCATATTCAATACCATGATCTACCTTCTCAAATACCTTAGCAATGAAAGTTAGTAAATTCGTAAAACAGGAACACCCCTTTGTAAAACCGTGCAGAGTTTCATAAATTAATTTTTGCCTTTCAAGATGGTTACGAATTGCTTCAGCAATTATCTATTCCATAAATTTACCAAGGCTTACTGGTTTATAGTTCAAAGCTAAGGACCTGTTACCTGCCTTGTAAACAGGTATTACAGTTGCCATTTTCCACTTGTCTGCCCCTATGCCAGTTTGTAGTAATATATTTAAAAGATTAGCCAAAGGTATGCTAAGTTTCTCTTTACATGCCTTTAATTAAAAACCCTTGCAAATGGTTCATCAGGGCCTGGGGATTTGTTAGGTTTTAATTTCTCGATTTGTCTGAGGACAATGTCACTAGTTACCCTAATCTTGAATAGTTTACTATTGTCCTGTTGTACATAATTTATTATTTCTAGAATTTCGCTAGTATCTTCCTGAGTAAAAACAGAGGAAGTAGGTATTGAAAAGTTTACACATTTCCTTATCACTGTCAGTGATCTGACCTGAGTTACTCTAAAGTAGGCCTATCTTGTCCCTAATCTTACTTCTGTATACCTGAAAGAACCCTTTTGGGTTAGTCTTCGAATCCCTTGCGACTTTAGCCTCAAAATCCCTTTTTGCCCTTATTCCTTTTTTTTCTCTTTAATTGAATATACTGATTTCTTAACTGCCTTCTCCCTCTTTTGATATGCCTATATATGCCTCTCTTTTGACCAGTGAGATGTTTTAATCCTAGTACTATGCTCTGTAATAAGTCATACTGGCAACCAACCCTACTTACCTGACACATAGTAAGGTCATCCCAATTCAGTCCACCCAGGTAATTTCTCATACCCACGAAGTCGGCTAAGCAGGAAATCTAGGACAGTGATTTGATTGCAGTTATCTGGGTAATTCCATGATATACTGAAACTAAGTGATTTGTGATCGCTTTCCACTAGTAACCATCACTAACCTCAAGATTATTAACTAGTGATTCTTTGTTGGCAAGAACCATGGCAAGCAGATTGTTTCCTCTAGTTGTTTCTGTCACAAACTGTTTTAAAAAGCAGTCCTGAACTGTATCAAGAAAGTCACTAGACTCGAGATTTCCTGTCACACTGTTCCAATCTATTTGTCTAAATTTAAAATCTCCCACTGACACAACATTTTCATATCTAGATTCCTTATGAATTTCGTCCCATAACTGCCTACCGCACTCCCTATCAAGGTTTGGGGGCCAATAAATCACACCCAAAATTAATTTTTTACGACCTTCAAGAAACTGTAGCCAAACAGATTCTGTGTCCAATGTTTCTAATCTTACAGCTTGTCTAACATGACAATTTAAATTATCTCTGACATACACCACCACTCCACCACCCTTCCTGCTGACCCTATCAGTGTGGAATAGTCCATAACCCTGTATGTTGCATACAGAAGGCATTTCTGCATCCTTCAAGTTGAACCAGGTCTCTGTTATAGCAATAAGATCTATATTACCTGCACTTGCAAGTAATCTTAGCTCATCTACATCCCTAATGTTTTCCAGCCGTACCGGAGATTCGAACTCCGGGCCTCAGTGTTTGAGATGAGTGTGCTAACGATCGAGCTACGGATCATTCAACACTTTCACCATCATTCACACACAATCACGGTCTTCGCAGAGGCACTCATATACGACAGTTTAGATGTCCCTCCAAACAGCCAATACTTAAAAATATATATATTAAAGGAAGATTGATTGCTGTGACGATCTTATTTGTCAAGAAGTACAGTAACTAGAGCAGTTGTAATACACATTCTAATTTTACAAGAGAATGGCCATTGCCAAAGGGAAAGTGATGAAATTTACAAACAAATGTAGAGGCATAAGCCATGAAGGAGATGAATGAAAGGCAGTAATTTCAACAGATATACACGAGAAATTGACGATACATGATGTTACTAAGAAGCGGGCAAAAATCACTATCAAGATGAAACCTTGCTTCCTTGCACCTTATTCACTCTCCTCTGCCATTCAATCAGTTGCCAGCATGTTCAATATATTTGTTCCTCCATGTGAACAACAACATAACAGATTAGTGTATTATATAATACATGCAGTACAAATACATCAGATGCACATGTTAGATTTATTTACAAAACATTTTTAGGCTATACAATTCATGACACTTGCTTACCATACCCTCAAGTTTAACCCTTTCAGGGTTTCTGACGTACTAGTATGGCTTACGCACCAGGGTTTTTGACGTACTAGTACGCCTAAATTCTAGCGCCCTCAAATCTAGTGAGAAAGCTGGTAGGCCTACATATGAAAGAATGGGTCTGTGGTCAATGTGTGCAGTATAAAAAAAAATCCTGCAGCACACAGTGCGTAATGAGAAAAAAAAGCTGACTGTTTTTGGTTTAAAACAGCAACTTTGCACTGTATTTTCACATGGCGTTTATTATGGTATTCTAGTTTTCCTGGTCTCATTTTATAGAATGGAAGACATACTGCAGAAATTGAGACGATTTTGATTGGTTTTACAATGAAAAGTACCTTGAAATTGAGCTCAAAGTAGCAGAAATCTTCGATTTTTACCAAAGTTCAAAAGTAAACAAATCATGCTACGCGTCCAATACGCGTCAACTGGGGAGTCTCATTCTTTCACAAGTGCACTGATATTATTTATACCATTTCTACACTAATGCAGTAGTCTGCATAACAGTAAATCTTCTATTTTTTTGTGAGAATAAAAATTCAAAGTGGAATGCAAAAGAATGTAAGAGGGGCATGGGGATGTGACTAATGAACAAAAGAAATGATATTTTAGTGCCAGGAATGTCTTCCTTGTTTATTCTGGACCCTATTTGGAAATTGGCATCTTTTGAAATTTGTGTGAAATTGGCAAAAATGCTAAATTCTGACCACTTTATTGGATAGTTGAAATTGGTAAATGGGTGGTTTCTTGTACTCATTCGATAGAAAAAATGGAGTTCTAGCAAAATAGTTATGATTTTTGTCTACTAGTACACTGGAATTGGCCAAAAATAGGGCTGAAAGTGGGCAAAATCACCGATGTGTAAACATCGTCGAGACCGCTAACTTCGCAAGAGCATAATTCCATAAGTTTTCCATCAAATTTCATACTTTTGGTGTCATTATGATCAGGAAAAGATTCTCTATCTTTTCATAAGAATTTTTTTTTTTTTTAAATTTGGTGACCCTGAGAACAAGTCTGGGAGAGGGCCTGTCGACCCTGAAAGGGTTAAAGAAAACTTTATAACCCTTTCGTGAATTTCTATAACACTTGCATTATACAGAAATTTATCATTACAGGTGCAATGTTTTCAAGAATTTTATACATATGCATGCCCTCAACCCTGAAACTTGAATTTAAAAGTATGTAATGTAAAAACCAGTTTAATTCACACAAACAAGCTTACGTTTAGAAACCACCCTGGACAACACTGGTGCTGCACATAAACCCACTCACAAATCATATCTTTCAACTTGCTGATGGCACAGTAATTAAAAATGGTGCAACTACGTGCATGATGTTTCAATGCAAACCCTTTGGATAAGAACACAAAAAACACTTTCCTAGTGGTAAACTTCTTACTGTGATCAGCCATTTAGGATATAAGCTTAGTGTGAAAATTATATGAAAACCACTAAACATTACTTACTGGGAAAAAATTGTTCAAGTGGCACAAACTTAGAAATCTCTTACTAGAAACTTACGAGTTGATAAGAATACATAATTACAAAGATGAACATACATGCACTGAGTATAGTATTTCAGTTTACATATCTTTTCAAACAATGCTACTAGTTTAAAAAAAAAAAAAAAAAAAAAAAAAAAAAAAAAAAAAGACAGGACAAAATACAGGCATAATCAACATCATTACTATATAGGGCAATCGGACATCACTAGCCTACTTTAGTACAATCTAACAGAATCTAAACATTGAAAAGTCAATGGGATTACAAAAATGGATCCACGTAGTAACTACTACACCTGACAACACCAGCAATAACAACATCAATATCTGATCACAATAAGTAGCTACAAACTTTAAGCTGGGGGTGAGATTTTAAATAATTCCTGTGTAAATAACTCGTATGACTAACCTTTATCTTTTCTAGTTCATCTTCAGTACGTGATAACTGCTTCAAAAGGTCCACCATTGGACCAACAGAGGATAAGGAAGACTGGCTTCCATCTTCCCCATCCTGAAACACAAAACAAATGTAATTCTAAAATACAAAAATAATTAACCAAATGGAGTAAACTCCTTGACAATTTACTTTTGACTAAGTAAAAAGCAAAAGAACATATCTGAGCATTAACAATCTCTAAAATTTATCTAAATTTCAAGATTTGTTACTGCAATAGTATATTAATACTAAAGTAAGCAAGCAAGCAAGCAAGCAAGCAAATATATCCAACTTTCACTGTTAATAAAACTAAGTAAAGAAAGAAATAAGCATAAACAAGTGTATCTCTTAAGTAGAGCCCTGTCATGCTATGTCGATTTTAAAGTAATTTTAGAAATGCTCACAGAAACATTAAGGACTACACCAGAAGCTGCTACTACACAACAGTGTATCTTAGCTGTGTTTCACTACTAATAAAGAGGAAATCACAGGATAACAATCAGAGAATGAATGTGTAACATCACTTTACTGCTGAAGCTACAGGACAATCTTTTGACATCAGGTAAAGTGCTGCTCAGATCATGAAAGGGGCAGGAAATACATTATCTTGAAATTAAACAATTTAAATGGTGAAGTTTGCCTAAAATGTCATACCACGTCTATTAGAAATAACCTGACTTGCCTTATTTGAATTAATATCAATTATACATTTTCTGTATGAAGCCAGTAATCTAAGACATGCAAGGATTTTTTAAAACAGAATGGTAATTGTCCCTAGGTCGTAGGTTGGTAGACAGCAACTGCCCAGGGAGGTGCTACCATCCTGCCAAATGAGTGTATAACGAAAGCCTGTAACTGCTTTACATGATGGTAGGATTGCTGGTGTCTTTTTTTCTGTCTCATAAACATGCAAGATTTCTGGTACGTCTTGTTACTTCTACTTACACTTGGGTTAAACTACACGTGTGTACAAACGTATGTATACACACCCCTCTGGATTTTCTTTCATTTTCTTACTAGTTCTTGTTCTTGTTTATTTCATTTCCATGGGGAAGTGGAACAGAATTCTTCCTCCATAAGCCATGCATGCCGTAAGAGGTGACTAAAATGCTCGGAGCAAGGGGCTAGTAACCCCTTATCCTGTATACATTACTGAAGTTGAAAAGATAAATTTTTGTTTTTCTTTTTGGGCCACCCTTCTTCAGTAGGATACAGCCAGTTTGTTGAAAGAAGAAGAATGGCAACTGTCTTGTCCTCTTATTCAAATGTGCAGCTGATTACTACACTCAGTAATTTGGTTATGGAAGATTTTTGCAGCTATTCCCAGGTGTTCTACTAAGTCTAAAGATTGTAGTAGTATAATGCCAATCTTTGTTTCCCAATAAAATGCGAGTGCAATAAGTTTTTTACGTTGGTTCATACATTATTTAACACTAAATAATATTTGCCAGCCTTCTGAACATTTACAAAGAACATGTGCTAAAATATTTGTACTCAAGTGAAGTCGTCTTCACCTGTACTCTGCACCATCTGAAAAATTCACTAAAATTGTAAAATACTGGATCATCAAGTAATGAGGCACATTCCTTAGCTACTGCTGTACTCAAACTTCTCTCTCTTTCCATAACTTTTGTTGTGATCATGGGTTTCAGAATCTCATTCAGAACAGTGAAGTCTCATTACATGTATTTGTTTGTACAGATGCTGAATTATCATGCTCCAAAGAAGGGACCGAATTTACACCCAAACGAAAAAAAAAAAAGTATTTGGAAGCTCATATTTACTGAATTTCTTTTATGATGTCTAGTAAACACCATAATTTTAGTACTGTCTACCATTCTGTGGTTCAGATGACACCACTTGTGTCTGACCTTTTCTTAGCTTAGCACAGTAACATGAAAATCATGGAAGAGGTTATACATGTTACCCATCAAAGAACATTTTTAACAAATTCAAAATAAGAAAGCACCATAAATTATTGCAGGATACTTTCTCAGTATTCAATTCCACACACAAATCAGTTGACTATATTGTTTGTGCTACTAAATGGACCACTTGACGCTTCATTGCCTTCATGAACACACTAGGCTGAAACTTATGAACTTCAACAAAGGGAGATACAAGTGTATGGACCCGGGTGTGATGTCAGGCAAAGAATGTATGTTTAACACTGTAGGTTCAAGCCTATGAACTCTAAGAAAGGAGTAGTGAGTGTATGGACCTGGCTATGTTGCCAGGTGAGAAAAATGTGTGTGTAATGTTAGGTTCAAAGCTAAAAATTCCAATAAAAGTGATGAGTGTCTGGACCCGACTATGGCAACTGGCTTGCCTTCATGAAAAATCAGCTATAAAGACAAGACACATGCTTTGTATCTCCTTTAGTTTTCTACCAAAAAGGGGACTGATTTTTAGTCCATCATAGGCAGTTATGACAATGTAAGCAATGAATAATGGATGAGCCAGAAGACAGACAGGTGGATTGGCAAGAACTAGCAGGCAAACAGGCACGCATGCAAGAAGACAAAAGTGGGTGGGCAGGTGAATACAAGTAAATAGCCAGGCAAGCAAGTGCAAGGGTGTGAATGAAAGCTAGCAAGCAAGGTGTGGGTATGTGCCAGTGAGCAGGCAAGTAGGATGCTGGCAAGGAGGTTGGCAAGGAGGTTAGCAAGGTGGTGGTGGCGGCTGATAGCAAGCAAGCCAAGTGGCTGGTGAACAAAAACTTATGTGGGGTGGTGGGCAGGTGAAAACTGGAGGGCAAGCAAGAGCTGGTGGGCAAACAGGCATGCAAGAACTAGCCAGCAATAAAGTAGGAAAGAGTGGTCAAAAGTGTGGGTGAAGTGGTGCATAGCAAGAAAATATAAGACACAGGGCAATTACAAAAATTAAATGCAAATGACAGGAGGGAATTATAAGCTTTAGGCACTGCTAGTGATACAAAGGTATTATAAGCTTCAGGAATCAGCAAGATAAGATTTACTTTAATTTTTAATTATGTATCAAACTACGAGACTTTTGAAAAACACTAGTCTTAGGGTTACTATATGTGACAATTACAGCCCTTACATGCAGGAAGTCTGTCCCTTTCTAGGAATGAGGGAAGCTCAAAATACTGTAAATACAGGAGTCAGCAAGTCACAAATGTACTGTATATATTATACCACAAAAAAACATTTGCAAGTCAGGGAGCCATAAATAAAGAAGGTACTCACGGAGATTTGGAGTTTCCAAAGCCCTACTTTCCATTTAATATGAGATGGATATACCAGTAAATGTTTTTGAGGTTTGCACATCTGTTTAGCAATTTGTGACAAACTACATTTTAATACACCAGCAGTCTCCCACCGAGGTAGTGCAACCCCACCAAAAAAGTAATGCCTTTACTATTTTTTATTCGATAGTTGTCACAGCTGTCTCGTCAGAAGTACATAGACATCACAACTCAAATGACACTCCAAGTGCAGCATTCCCACCTCTATGTCTAGTAAAACAATTAACATTTTTTTTTATCAAGGAAATGAACTCTTATTAAGAAAGACGTCAGTTGATTTTAATAAGTTAAAGCCAATTGTTTATCAATAAAACTCATCAGGTGGAATGGGATACCTGAAGTATTCCTGGAGAGGGTTTCAAGGATCAACGCCCCCACAGCTTGGTCTGAAACCAGGCCTCATGGTGGATCAGGGTTTGATCAACCAGGCTGTTGCTGCTGACTGCACGCAAACTGACATATGAACCACAGCCTGACTGGTCAGGTACCGACTTCAGGTGACTGTCCAGTGCCTTCTTGAAGACAGCCAGGGGTCTATTGGTAATCCCCCTTATGTATGCTGGGAGGCAGCTGATCAGTCTTGGGCCCCTGACAATTACTGTGTTGTGTCTCAGTGTAATCATGGCACCCATGCTTTTCATTGGGGGAATGTTGCATCTCCTGCAGAGTCTTTTGCTTTCATAGGGAGTGATTTGTGTGTAAATTTGGTACCAATCCCTCTAGGACTGGTCATGAATTTGAATAAAATGTATACTCTAATAACTAAATACCTAGCATTCTTAATGAATAACAAAGTATGCTATGATAAGTGAATACAGTAAATCACATTAATTTTTTTCTCATGTGTATAAGAATTTTTTTCCATAATTTTCTATCCATATTTTCTAGACAAAGAAATCAACTTACTTGATCATCAGCTTGTAATTTTGCTGACTGCTGGCCTTTGAGAAACATTTGTAAGTACATCTTCTGGTGACGGAGTTCAGCCTCTGAAAGCTCATCCTTCAGCCTTGTCACATCTCTTTCCAACTCACGAACTCTTTCTTGACTTCGATCATACATCGGTCGCAGTTCAAAATACCTGAAATTTAACCAAATTAATTGCACATTCCATTACTGCAGTATTTAGTAAGTGAAGGAATAACTTTTTAATCACATATATGTTTCAACACTCTTGTATGTACGAACACTTGTATGGGTGTGAAGCATGGGTGATGAATGTTGCAATGAGGAGAAGGCTGGAGGCAGTGGAGATGTTATGTCTGAGGGCAATGCGTGGTGTGAAAATAATGCAGAGAATTCGTAGTTCGGAAATTAGGAGAAGGTGTGGGATTACCAAAACTATTGTACAGAGGGATGAGGAGGGGTTGTTGAGGTGGTTCGGACATGAAGAGAGAATGGAACAAAACAGAATGACTTCGAGAGTATATAAATCTGTAGTGGAGGGAAGGCGGAGTAGGGGTCGGCCTAGGAAGGGTTGGAGGGAGGGGGTAAAGGAGATTTTGTGTGCGAGGGACTTGGACTTCCAGCAAGCGTGCATGAGCATATTTGATAGAAGTGAATGGAGACAAATGGTTTTTAATACTTGACGTGCTGTTGGAGTATGAGCAAAGTAACATTTATGAAAGGATTCAGGGAAACCGGCAGGCCGGACTCTAGTCCTGGAAATGGGAAGTACAGTATCTACACTCTGGAGGGGTGTTAATGTTGCAGTTTTATAACTGTAGTGTAAAGCACCCCTCTGGCAAGACAGTGGTGGTGTGAATGATGAAAGCTTTTCTTTTTTGGGCCACCTTGCCTTGGTGGGAATCGGCCAATGTATTAATAAAAAAAAAATAATAAACATGTTTAATGTTAAGTTGGCCTATAATGCCAAGGCACAATAGAGGTTCTCTTTGCATTGCAACCCACTATTGTATATACACAATCTCAATGTACTGTTTGTAAAGACATTAAATAAATAAATAAATAAATAAATAAATAAATAAATAAATAAAAGGTGGATGTAAAACATTCAGAAATTGCTGATTCAATATTACTTGAGATTAGCATCACTGAGTTTTGAAAGGAGAGATTCCACACGATCATTGTGCTTTTCTTTCAGTTCATGATATTCATCCATGTGGTTCCGCTTCAGTTGATCTTCCCGTCTTTCATACTCTTCTCTAAGCCTTGCTTCAGTCTCCTCTACCACAGTCCATGGATCCACTTCATCTTCATCCTCATCAATGCGCGGTCCTCTCAATGATCCTCTGCTTGCTTCAAATGGATCCTGAAATTTTTAGCAATTAAGATTAAAAGCATAAAGACCAGTGCTGTTTTATCTGACATACTGAATGTGATGAATCAAGAAGGGTAAATCCTACTCGAATTTACAGTGGACCCCCGGTTCGCGATGCTGTTGGTATCCGATAAATCCGGTAACCGATGCATTATATCGCCAAAAATTTGCCTCGGTTCCAGTTACAAAACCCGGTATGCGATGCAATTCGTACGAGACTTGTACACGTGTGGCATGAACTGCCCCATGTGTACCAGTGTTTACAAGCCAGCCAGTGTGCACACATCTAAGGATACATTCGGTACATTCCATATTATCACTGTTTTTGGTGCTTGTTTCTGCAAAATAAGTCACCATGGGCCCCAAGAAAGCTTCTAGTGCCAACAATTCGAGACCAAGGGTGCTAATGGCTATTGAAATGAAGAAAGAGATAATTGCAAAGTATGAAAGTGGAGTGCGTGTATCGGAGCTGGTCAGGTTGTATAGTAAACCCCAATCAACCATCTCTACTATAGTGAGCAGGAAAACGGCAATCAAGGAAGCTGTTCTTGCAAAAGGTGCAACTGTGATTACGAAACAGCGACCGCAAGTGTTAGAAAATGTTGAGACTGTTATTGGTGTGGATAAATGAAAAACAGATAGCAGGAGATAGCATCTCTCAAGCGATCATTTGTGAAAAGGCTAGGCAGTTGCATGACGATTTGGTAAAGAAATTGCCTGCAACTAGTGGTGATGTGAGTGAATTTAAGGCCAGCAAAGGTTGGTTTGAAAGATTTAAGAATAGTAGTGGCATACATAGCGTGATTAGGCATGGTGAGGCTGCCAGTTCAGACCACAAAGCAGCTGAAAAATGTGTGCATGAATTCAAGGAGTACATAGAGGCTGAAGGATTGAAACCTGAACAAGTGTTTAATTGTGACAAAACAGGCCTGTTTTGGAAGAAATTGCCAAGCAGGACCTACATTACTCAGGAGGAAAAAGCTACCTCAAGTCCTAATGGAGGGGGATTCCCCTTCTAAACAATACATTCAACACTCTCCCCTCCTCCCATCCCATCAATCATCACCAGATCTTCATTAAAATTAAGTGTCAATTATTCTATTGTTATTGTTGTTATTGTAATTATTCTATTGCATTAAACTTAATATTTCATGTGGTAAAAGTTTTTTTTCAAACTTTTGGATGTCTTGCACGGATTAATTTGATTTCCATTATTTCTTATGGGGAAAATTGATATGCTTTCCGATAATTTTGGTTTACGATGAGCTCTCAGGAACGGATTAATATCATGAACCGGGGGTCCACTGTACATCCATGTATTCTTATATCCTCTTCCACTTTATTGGGTAGTTCAAATCGGTAAATGAGCAGTTTCTTTTACTCAACTGATAGAAAAAGTGGAGTTCTAAAGAAATAGCTATGAGTTTGGTCAACTGGAACAACGGAACTGGCCAAAAACAGGGCTCAAAGTCGGCAAAATTGCCGATGCGTATATGTCGCCGAGACCACTAACTTCATGGGAGCGTAACTCAGCGAGTTTTCTACCAAATTTCGTACTTTTGGTGTCATTATCATCAGGAAAAGATTCTCTATCATTTCATAAGAAAAAAATTTTTTCCCCAAAATTTTGAGACATAGAATGACAGTTTCAGAAAAGGGCTTGCAACAGTAAAAGGATTAAATGAGCCTCAGAAAATGAGAAGTTCATTGAGGACAAAATTAAATTACTCCACTATGGAAAACTCAAGGAAAGAAGAATCAAATCTGAGTATAAAACAAATTGCAACCACAGACAGCTAAAAACTAATGTGAAGGACCTGGGAGTGATATCAGAGAATCTCATTTTCAAATATGACAGCAATGTCTCTACCACATCTGCTAGGAAAATGATAGGATGAATAATGAGAACCTTCAAAACTAGGGATGCCAAGCTAATGATGATTCTCTTCAAATCGCTTGTTCTCTTTAGGCTGGAGTACTGCTGTACACTAATAGTCCCTTTCAAGGCAGGTGAAGATGTAAATCAACTTTTGGTATTGTTTAGTAGTTAACACTTAGTTTCCCAACCTGAAGGCTGCTTCTGTAACCTTAATTTTTTTGAATGGACCTTGAACGTTGTGAGGTACATCTTATGTAATCAAAACATTTAATCTCCCATTGTTAGGGACATTCCAATACTAATTTTTTTTTTTTTGAAGAGCACTATAAAGGTGTTCTAGTTTAATATCTTTTTTATGCACCCCATACCCATCCTGTGGGCAGTAGTCGAAAAAGATTACAGAGGTACATAATGGGTCCAGGGACTGGGCCCCAAAGTTTTGGTAGCAGAACAAGTTACAAAGGTAATGAACCATTCACATGTCCACACCCGATCACAACTGCAGCGAGTTATTAATGCAAATATTAACTTTATTTCAACTGCCTAGGGAGGTACTACCATCCTGCCAAGTGAGTAAAACAGAAGTCTAATTGTTTGACATGATGGTAGGATTGCTGGTGTCTTTTTTCTGTCTCTTAAACATGCAAGATTTCTGGTACATCTTGCTACTACTTCTTACACTTAAGTCACACTACACATACATGTACAAGCATATATATACACACCCCTCTGGGTTTTCTTCTATTTTCTTACTAGTTCTTGTTTATTTCCTCTTGTCTCCATGGGGAAGTGGTACAGAATTCTTAACCGTAAGCCATGCGTGTTTTAAGAGGCAACTAAAATACCGGGAGCAAGAGGCTAGTAACCCCTTCTGTATAATTTACTAAATTTAAAAAGGAACTTTCGTTTTTCTTTTTGGGCCACCCTGCCTAGGTGGTATATGGCTGGTTTCCTGAAAGAAGATTAGCTTTATATACAGTGACCAAAGTAAGTGTATTTTTCCTGAATGGTTTGTAATATACCACTGTGGATAAAATACTTTGACATATCTTGAACATTTCTGAGTGAGATGTCTCTGAATTCATTAATTCTATATTGCATTCAGGTACATAATGATGCAAGGTGTCAAGGTGTAAAACAAATATGACGAAACCCTGAAATTGACCAGAACACGAATTCTCAAGCTATGACATGGCAACCTGGAAAGAAAAAATCAAATGACAACCACTACTGGTATCTCCACTGAAGGATACAGTGCCCAGGAATATGAAAAATTACTCCAAGAATAATGGAGATTGAAAATTATTTTTGGCAAATTACAAAAAAAAAATAAAAAAGGTCCATTTTTCCCTTCAAGCAGCAATGGGGTGCATTAGAAAAACATTTACTTCCTTTACCTGCAGTACCAGCTGTAGTCCATGGAGAAGAGGGTACCTAGTGTTGTTTGTATATATGATAAAAAAAACATTTTAGTGTACATACCCTTGAAGAGAGGCACGGTGACGTGAGATCTTCATAATGGCCTGAGTCTGCCAGAGACCGAGTGAGTTCAACAGAATCTGCCGTGGTTTCTGCTACAGAGCCTCCTGCAGGAGACACCACTGGGACTCTCACTGCTCCAGATTCTGATGTAACTGCAGAAAAATGGTAACATACTGTCAGTAAATAAAATTAGTTTCAGAATTATTACAGCAACAGAATTAGCTGATGAACCACTTCATTAAAGATACACACTTAAACCAGCAAACTCAGGAGGAGGAAAGGATAGGGTAGAAAATTGCTATTCCTATTATTGACATTTAAAAATAATTGCAAACTTCTGGCAACAGTTATTAACCCTTTCAGGGTTGGCAGGCCCTCTCCTAAACTTTTTCTCAGGGTCGAAAATTTTTCAGAAAAAAAATATGAAATTATAGAGAATCTTTTCCCGATCATAATGACACCAAAAGTATTAAATTTGATGGAAAACTTACAGAATTATGCTCTTGCGAAGTTATCAGTCCAGATGATGTTCACGCATCGGCAATTTTGCCCACTTTGAGCCCTATTTTCGGCCAATTCCAATGTACCAGTCAACAAAAATCGTAACTATTTCGCTAGAACTCCATTTTTTCTATCGAATGAGTACAAGAAACCACCCATTTACCGATTTCAACTATCCAATAAAGTGGTCAGAATTCGACAATTTTGCCAATTTACCACAAATTTCAGAAGATGCCAATTTCTAAATAGAGTCCAGAATAAACAAGACAGACATTCCTGGCACTAAAATAACATTTCCTCTGTTTATTAGCCACATCCCCAGGCCTCTGTTACATTTCTTTTGCTTTCCACTTTGAATTTTTATTCTCACAAAAAATAGATTTACTGTTATGCAGACTACTGCATTAGTGTAGAAATGGTATAAATATTATCAGCGCACTTGTGAAAGAATATTAGACCTACCAGTTGATGTGCATTGGACGCATGGCATGATTTGTTTACTTTTGACCTTCAGCAAAAATCGAACACTTTTGCTACTTAAAAGCTCAATTTCAAGGTACTTTTCATCGCGAAACCAATCAAAATCATCTCAGTTTCCGTAATATATCTTCCATTCTATAAAATGAGACCAGGAAAACTAGAATACAACCATAAATATTATTATTATTATAATAAAAAAGAAGTGCTAAGCCACAAGGGCTATACAGCGCTGCAGGGTAGGGAAGGAAGCGAGGGTATTGGGCAGCAGAAGGGAGGAGGGATGATCAGTAGGTTACAGAAAACAGCGGGGCAGGGGATAGTATGGGGGTAGAGGGTAGCAAGAGGTTGAGGTAGAGAGGGCTGAAGGTATCAGAATTTGTGAAGTACGTCAGTTGTTGTCAAAGTTAATGAGAGAGTCCGGATGAAAGGTGGGTCCATCAGTGAGAAGGGAAGGTAAAGAGAGAGCAGCGGAGCGAAGACGACGACGGAGGTAAATTCTGAGTGCTCGTTGATAAAGTGGGCAGTCCAACAGAATATGGCTGACTGATAATGGAGCCTGGCAATTCTCACAGAGAGGAGCAGGGCGCCTCTCCACGAGATATCCATGAGTAAGACGAGTATGGCCAATGCGAAGACGGGAGAGAGTAGTCTCCCAACCTCGACACTGGTGATAAGAAGATGGCCAGTAACCTATGCTCGGTTTAATAGATTGAAGTTTGTTACCGAGCATAGTAGACCAACGTTGCTGCCAACGGGCGTGAAGGTGGGAAGATATTGCAGCAAAATAGTCCGTAAATGGAATACCTCTATATGAAACTGGTAGGTCATGTACTGCTGACCGCGCAGCAGTGTGTGTCTGTTCATTGCCCTGTACTTCAACATCACCAGGGACCCAACAAAAACTATCTTTATGCTTGGTAAAGATGCGGCATAGCCAAAGTTGGATACGGAGGACTAAGGGGCGAGGTGTATCAAATTTCTGTATAGCCTATAAAGCACTAAGGGAGTCTGAGACAACCACAAATGATGACACAGGCATAGATGCAATACGGATAAGTGCTGCAAGGATGGCATACAATTCAGCAGTAAAAGCACTAGCCGAAGATAATAAATGCCCTCGTACGACGCTCTCCGGAAACACTGCTGCGAATCCTACGCCGTCAGAAGACTTAGAGCCATCTGTGTACACAGCAATGGCATGAGAATGAGAGTGGAAGTGGTCAAGAAAAAGAGTGGGAAGCGACCGTAGACAGTTGGGCTTTCTAGCAAGGGAGAGAGAAAGAACAGACTCGAACAGCTGGAACTTCCCAGGGGGGTAGGGAAAAGTGAGATGCTACATGAACATAGAAAGGTGGTAATTGAAGAGAAGACAAGAGCAAATGAAGGTGAAGAGAGAAGGGATGGAGTAAACAGGGGCGGCGAACAAATAAAGAATGTCTACTAATATCAGTGACCATTCTATAAATGGAAGGATTGCGAAGATCATGAGAGCGTACATAGTAGCGAAGGCAATGGGCATCATGGCTATCGGATAAGGATGGAACGTTCGCTTCTGCATAGAGGCTCTCAACAGGGGAAGAGCGAAAAGCACCAAGGCATAAACGTAATCCTTGGTGATGAATGGGGTTAAGGCTAGAGAGAGTAGCAGGAGATGCCGCTGAATAGATCTGGTCACCATAATCAAGTTTCGATAAAATGAGGGTGGAATGTAGGCGAAGGAGGGTTCAACGATCAGCTCCCCATGAAAGATGAGCAAGGGTTTTAAGAAGCTTCAGCCGGCTGTGACAAGTTGCCTTCAGAGAGGTAATGTGAGGTTTCCAGGATAACCTACGGTCAAAGAGGAGGCCCAGAAACTTGACTATCACGTTCAGGGATACGGGAGCCATAGAGGTACAAAGGATGATCGGAGATGACAGAGCGTCTAGTGAAAGTAATTTAGAGAGTTTTAGTGCTGGAAAATTTAAACCCATGTGTGGTGGCCCAATTGGAAACACGGTCAACCACATGATGGAGAGAAACTGTAATGAGGTGACAGTCAGCGCCTGCACAGGCAATAGCAAAGTCATCAACATAGAGTGATGACCAAATATTTGATGGAAGACTAGAGGCCAAATCATTAATAGCAAGGAGAAAAAGTGTTGTGCTCAGAACACATCCCTAGGGGACACCTTCAGCTTGGATAAAGTCCGGGGAGAGCACATTATTAACCCGAACACGGAAATGTCTATCAGTTAAAAAGTTCTCAAGGAAGGATGGTAGATTGCCTTGGAGGCCTAAGGAGTGGGCTTCGGCCAAAATATTATACCTCCAAGTTGTGTCATATGCCTTCTCAAGGTCAAAAAATATGGCAATAACCGAGTGGTTATTTGCAAAGGCATTACGAACATATGTATCCAAGCGTAGTAAGGGGTCTATGGTAGAACGTCCCTTACGAAAGCCATATTGACGAGTGGAGAGACTGTTGTGTCTCTCTAAATACCACACTAAACGTCTATTTACCAGGCGTTCCATCACTTTGCAAACTGCACTGGTAAGAGCAATGGGACGATAGTGGGAGGCTTCATGTCCCATAGTGCCTGGTTTGCGGAAAGGGAGAGCAATGGCAGATTTCCACAGCTGTGGAAGAACTCCTTGTGACCAAATAAGATTGAAAAGGCGTAATAGGACTGCAAGGGCTGACTGATGTAAATGTTGTAGCATACGAATATGAATGTCGTCGGGTCCAGCTGCCGATGATCGGCAAGCTGAGAGCATTGCCTCCAGTTCTTGAAGTGTAAAAGGCACATTATACTGTTCTTCTCTGAGAGAAGAAAAGTCCAAGGGTGCTAACTCTCTGGCAGACTATGAGGAAAGAAACAAGGGGCATAGACGGAGCCCGAGAAATAAGGACCAGATGATTGCCAATTTCATTGGCAACATCTAGTGGGTTTGCTATATCAACATCGGCAACCAGCAGAACAGGAGCTGGGTCAGGAGAATATTTACCACTCAGTTTTCGTACTTTTTTCCCAGACTGCACTCAGAGGAAGCAGAGGTGATGGTGGAGACAATCTCGCCAGCAAGTGTGTTTAGCATCACGGATGACACGGCGAGCGATCGCACACTTCTGCTTAAAATCAAGAAGTCTCTCCGTGGTTCTATTGTACCGGTACCTGCCCCATGCAGCGCGTTTCAAACGTACTGCACGAGCACAAGCAGGAGACCACCAAGGCACGCATTTCTGAGAATGCCTGCCCGAAGTTTGGGGTATAAAATGAGAAGCTGCGGTTAAAACGGAGGACGAGAAGAGGTGTAAAAGCTCATCAATGGAGGACGAAGAAGGAACCTCACTAAAAACAGCTAGTTGTGAATGAAGGTTCCAATTTGCCTGATCAAATTGCCAGCGTGGGATACCAAGAGGTGGTGAATATGAAGGGGAAGTAAGAATGATTGGGAAATGATCGCTGTCATGTAAATCCGGGAGAACAGACCAGGTGAAGTCTAATGCGGTGGAGGAAGAGCAGACTGAGAGATCGATGCAAGAGAGAGCGTGAGTCCGAGGATCAAAATGGGTGCGAGTACCTGTATTTAAAACATGGAGGGGGTGGGTGGCAAAAAAAAGCCTCTAACTGAATGCCACGGGAATCACAGTGAGACCCCCCCCAGAGGAAATGATGGGCATTAAAATTGCCGAGTAACAGAATCGGTGGTGGTAATGACGAAACAAGAAAGGCAATATCCGGATTAGATAATGCCCGAGAAGGAGAAAGATATAAAGAACAGAGCATATACCACCTATGCAAGTGGATATGGGCTGCTGTGTAATGCAGCGAAGTACGAACAAATAGCTGATGGTACGGAATATCAGTGCGTAGAAAAAGGGCACTTTCATTAAAGGTCCCATCAGGAAAAGGATCTGAAGAATACAATAAATTACAGCCTGAGATGGGAGAGATAACAGCAGAGCGTAATTTTGATTCCTGTAAGCAAACACCAACAGGGGAAAACTGGGAGAGTAACATCTGAAGCTCACCCCGATTACCCCTGAGGCCACGTATATTCCACTGTAAATAGGCCATGATTGGCAATGATAAGGATACTTGAAATCCGCAGGTAAGGGTTCCTACGGACTAGAGGGGTTAGAAAAGTCCACATGCTGAGGGCAGCGGAAAATGTTCAAGCAGCGAAGGAA